TACCCAGTTGTTTAAATTGGTACAAATATAAATGTCTTGGGATAAAACAAATAGCTACAAAACAATGTCCTGGCATGTGAACTGTCCTGTTTTTTTATTTTTTAGATTAGAACAAGCGTTAACAATTTCATTTACTGTGTATTTACAGTATACTGTACTTCATTTACAGTGTGCACAAAGCAGTGTGAAGAATAATGTTCTTAATTTGGTGTCTCTGTCAACACACTTTCACAGTATGTTTAATAGTCCAGAAAAAGTATTTAAATATATACAGATTCTCACTCTTGCTTGTCACCATGACAACATTTCTTCTGATGAAATGAACCAAAGCACATTTAAAAAGTCTTTTATGGAGTATAGTGTTTCTAACCTTTTATATTAAGGTGTACAAACTAGTAAGGAAACAAGGAAAAATCAGTGTTTTACACAATGGTATAGAGTTCTGCAGATGTATTGGATAGCAGTTTGTGTCAGTGGTTCTGTTGTTAAAAGAGCAAACAATACAGTATAGCAGACCCAAATCAGCACATTCTGACTCCATCAATTTGCTTTTGAGTTCAGTGACTTTGAGCTGTTACTGGACCTATAAACCACGTAGAATCAGCTACAATAAGGTCCACCTACTGCTCTTAGTTAAAGATACTTCAACTAAATGCAAGATTTACTTTTCAGTCTTAAAATCTGTATATATAATAACATATTTAAATGGCACGTTAGAGTAGTTATTTCTCTCAGAAATAAGGCGTGGATGGTCTTATTGCTGCTAAGGCCATGGTTCATTATGTGGTATAATGAGGTGCCAGTGTTTCTCCAGGACTTTGGCATTGTCTGCCAGGACCCATAAACAGTCTTACAATTTTTTACAGTATTTCTGCATCCTTCCTCTTTTTTACAGCTAGAAGTCACCGTGTTCCCATGTCTTTTGCCAGATAAGCCATGATTACAATGTCAATGTTGTGCCTAACTGCAACAGTTTAAGGGATGGAAAGGGATTTGTTCTTTGAGTGTGTATAGATCATCTAACAGCAAAGGTACAGAATGGCATTTGTGCAGATTGATCTCTCCCGAATCTCTGTACATTTTACCAGCAAAGTAGTTTCTGAAATGTTTGTAAACAAGAAACATAAAAGGGGGGAAGATTAGTGTTGACTATTATCTGCAGCTCAGTGGCAAATATTCTTGAATTTAGTCCGATGCGAGACAGATCTATACTAACTGAGCCTTTGTTAACAGCAAGCCTAGCTTGATCAGGATGTGGCATGTACTCCACAAGTTCTTCAGCCCAATCCTATCTCATTCTTCTTGTAGTATTGCCTTCAGACACAGTTGTATGAGAGCCAGGGTATGCAAGATTGGACTAATGCATTCCGCTAGTTGCACCACTTCTTAATAGGCCTGAGATTTGTGCAATCTTAAGCCTAAGCACCTAGTTCATCTAAAGCCTCACTGAGACTTCCTAACACTGTGGCCAGTGAAACTGCATCCCTATTCCATTTCTTCTTTGTCTGATATACTGACATACACTAGCTTTTTTATTTGCAATCACAGCAGAACCAAGAAAAAATCACCCCAATATTAGTAAGCTTAAAACACAAGATATAACATGAGGAAAATGTTTAAGATCAATAATATTGTGCCTGTGTTTTTCTAAGACCCAAACAAGTGCTAATGGGCTTTTTTAAGCTAGTAAATGCCTAATCTTGCAAACATGGCTGAACTAAACCAATTGTCTTCATGATAGGAAAAGAATGGCCTTTTTTTATTCAGTTAAACCCTATTTGTAGTACTTGATCGCATTTGTCTGGAATACTTGAAAGTGTTTTTTTCTGAGGCTTTGAGTAAAAGAAATAGATTGCGCCAAGGGTTTTAAGTAAATGATCGGGCACCTTTGCTTTGAATTTGTTTAATGGATTTCCCTTTAAATGTGATGAATGAACCTGGGTCCCACCATGGCGAAATAGAACAGATGGCAAACACAAATGGCAGGACTCCATAGCACAAATCAAAAAGGCCGTGCCTCTGGGATTCTTATCCCCTGCCCCTCTTTTGTTTTACGATGGAAGCAAATTATTTCTCTGGAGCTGCACAAACGCTGCCAGTGCTTCAGCGTGCAAGAAATTTGAAATTTGGTGCATGTTTATAGTCGATTGAAAGTGTCTGTATCTGCTATTTTTTCTTGTCTTATATTTCCTAGATCTTCATATACATTTTGCACAGAAATTACAACTTTACATAAAGTAAAGTAAGAAAAGGCTCCATTTGCATGGTATTTGATCTTGAAGTCTCTTGGATAAATGTACTTAAAAAGCATCAGATTTGATTCATGCCTGCCTGAACACACCTATTCAACAGTAAAGCAACATGCTAGAAATATCTTATACCTGATTATAGCTTATATTAACAGACAAATTCATGAAACTGCAGACAGTGCATTATCATGTTCTACTTACCTGTTATACAGGCTGGATAAAAGTTCATGTTTTCTGCATTAACCACTTATATTATATGAAACTCCATAGCAGATTTCTTGACATGCAGCTGACAGCTGGCTAAAGCATGCAGTCGATTTGAAATATATAACATCAAGAGGAGTTGAACTGTGGAGACCTGATCTGGACAGCACGCAAAGAAGCCTTTGGATATTTTCATTTTTTAACATACTGTATGCGAAAGACTTTGAGGTGGGATGTAACTAGTGTGCGAATGATGTAGATATGTTATAACACAGATTGAATATAGATAGAATAACAGTAGTAGGCAGATTTGTGTCAAAAGGAATTGAAAAGGCATATGTAAAGGCTTGATTACTGAGAATTTAAATGTGGGTTTTTATGTGTAATGGGTCTGCAGGACAGTTGAATTTCAAGCCCAACACACACAAATACAATATTATATACTACAAGCCAATGATTATATTGAACACAGTCTTAGTTTTGGACCTCCTTACACCACATCTAATGTACAGTAAAGTCAGTCTGGAGTCAAGCTCAAGGTGAAATTCTTAGAAATGATAGAAGACTGACAGTTCAGTAATGATTTGTCATTTCAGCTTCTGGTTTAATGATTGTTTATCTCTCCAATGTGCTGGAAATGGCAGTATTTATAACAATGTATCCATCCATTTTCTAACTGCTTCATCCAGTTCAGGGTAACAGTGAAGCCAGAGCTTATCTGTGCAAGCAACACCCTGGATGGGATGCAAGGCAGGGTACACCCTGGATGGGATGCCAGTGCGTTGCGGGGCACACACAGACACAAACGCAGATTCATCCACACTCACACCAGGACCACTTTTCACAGAAACAAATGAACCTCCCGGTATGTCTTTGGGCTGTGGGAGGAAACACGAACATACAAAGGGGAGAGCATACAAACTCCATGCAGATAACAGCCCAGGTCAGGAAGTGAACCCAGGGTCCCAGTGTGGTAAAGCAGCAATGCTAATCTATTGTGCCACCTTCTAACAATGCATAAACCAGTTCTTTGTGTACATTGCTTACTGGAATGGGCTCTGGCTCCTCTGCGACTCTGATTTGGAAGAAGAGGTTAGAAAAGGTTAGCATCCAGGTGGATGCTGCACATTGGTGGTGCTGGAGGGGAGTCCCCATTACCTGTAAAGTGGAGTGTCCAGAAAGGCGCTATATAAGTGTAAGCAATTATTATTATTATTAAAATGGATGTATGAATATCAAGTAAAAAGCACATGGGGATAGTATTGTTCTCAGAAACTCTTCTGGAAAGAACAATATGTGGGATCAGAGTATAGGACTACTGCACATTTTATTAGTTTTTCTTTAATAAAATGGTACTAATAGAAACTTGATTATAATAATAATGTTGCTGTCATATGAAGTATATGTCCTTACAAATAATTGTTCTGATAGGTTATTCTTGGTGGATGCTTGGGTTATGCTTGTAGCATTGTGAGTAAACACAAGGCTGACCTTCTGATTGCTAAACAAAGAGTTCCTCCAGTAGATTGGAGGAAGCATTAGAGAAATTTACCAATCTTAGCAGTGATTCGTGATTTTTTTTTGTCTTTGGCAGTTTTATATAACTGTACACAATGAAGAAGATATTGGGCACTGCTTTGCTATTAGCGTTCAATACCTCTTTTGTCTATTCAGTCTAGAAAATGACTTGTTAAATTTCAACTAAATTATTTTTGTTCTATTGATTTATGTATTCATTCGGTTTTAGTGTTAGTAAATGTCAGATGTCAAGGTGCTTGTATTCAGAAGCAAAGCACAGATTTTAGATAACACCTGAGAAGTGAACAGCTTCGTGACAGCAGCCTGTTACACACCTTCCTGACTTTAGATCCTTATCCTTATGTTTTGGGTTTAGGACAGCAACAGTGATGAGGTTGTCATGGTATCACAGTGTTATTAGGCCATAACCCTGCCATTAAGTTAACAGTGAAAAGAAATGAGGGATTAAATTTAGCTTGCCTTTCCCAATTCTTGTCTCACTGTTATTTCTGGGGGGCTTTTAACATTAATACCTTTACAACAGTTCTGTCAAGATTAGATGTTGACTTCAAATATAGTAACAATTATTTCATTACTTAATGCCTTTTTTCTTTGCCTACAAAAGTTTTCTCTTAGCACATCTTCAATTGCAGTTTGGACACTTTCTCCTAATATAAAAAATGTCTTTCAGTCTATCAAAGCCTCTAACCACCATGGCACTATTTCAAAAAAGCTATATGTGTGAGAAAACAAAAATGATGTAATCATTCAAAATGAAGTAACGATTACAGATGTTCTTTGTACTCAATGTATATATTAATTTCTTTTTCAATCATTCTTACCTAATTGTGATGTTATTAACTAAATTAATTTCTCTCAGCATTGTTCACCTATGTATATACAATCTGTCTTTGTCTTTCCTTCTAAGTTTTTATTTGATCAATAAAAAATAATGTTAGTGTGGGTGCATGTATTAGTAGATGTAAAGGCATTCCTAAAGAAGAGGGCTGTGCTGTTGTTTCCTCACAGTATTTCCCTGGCCGTCCAGTGGTCATGAACCTGCTGCAGGCTCTGGACAGCTGGCTGACGGATTACAAGGAATTTAAGGTGTCTTACTCTTCTATCAAGGCAGTGCTAGACAACGCAGGGGAGGTGAGTAGCGGTTTGAGTTGACCCAGGTTACAGTCTTTGGACAGGGTCATGTTGAAAATGGCACATAAGCTATCTTTCTTAGGTTGGTGTTTTTTTTCTGAGGCTCAGTGATCAATTGCATTGCGGAACTAGATGCACAAGTTCAGTCTTGCACAGTTCAACCACCTGTCTTGTAAAACATCCTCAGATGTGATGTGTCTGGCAAGACTGTGTGATATCAGGAGATTTGGTGATCTTCAGCTGTCTTTGTTTTTAAGAGATGAATTAAAGTATGACAATGGGCATTCCATATTTCCTAGGTTACGAATGCAAAAACTTTATTGACTCACTAATGGGATTTTCCCTTCTTTTAACTCCAAAGCTAGGGTGGGTTCCTATTTTCTCACATCAGGTTTATATTTTAAAGTCTGTCCTGAGCATCCCATTTTTTTTAAATAATTATTTTTGTCCATTTTTTTGGAAAGTGACAAATTCACTGTGTTGCTGAAATTGGGGGAACAAACTGAGAGGGATTAACATGCACGTTCTCGGTGGGAAAGCAGACAGCTGAGGACAAGCAGGCATCTAAACTTGCGAACGGGGTGGTCAGAAGTAACGGGGATAATTGTTTGAATCCGATGCTGTTTCCCAACAATTCCACACTGGTGATTTCAAATCCTGAGGTGTTTGAAGAACCTTCAGATATTACTCTCAGACACGGAATCCTCAGGATGCTGCTTCTGTTCTTCCAGGTTCCCAACGCGGTTCTTCCTAATGAGGAGAAGTGGGTGGGGTGTCAGGGGTCACAGCCACATTACAGAGGTTACCCCTGCTCTGTGTGGACACTTTTCCATCTGCTTACAGTCCAAGCTGCAGAGAGCACGTCCTCTTCAGGTATAACTGCGCTTTCAGTGTCATACGTGAATAGATCTACCCTTTTTTCATACATGTTGCAAAGTAATGAGTAGCAGTTTGTAATATATATTGTATACAGTACATATAATGCAGTCAGATTAGTGCCTGCATGTCTGAAGAAGGCTCCACGGCCGAAACGTTGTGTTCTCTTTTTTCTTTTTTTCAGCATGGAATAAACCTATTACTTGTTCCTATATACAGTGTATGTGTGCAGAGATGTGAAAAGCAACAATACATTCCTTGAATGTGTATTTTTTAAGAAAAAGCTTAAAGCTTGCAGTGTATTTCCTCAATCAACAACAGTATTTGGAGAATTTCTGTGTTTATCCCGATCAAAATACAAATCAATCAATTGTAGCTCTTGGGCACCCCTGACTTGTCTGTAGTTTGTAAAATGTTTTAACGTGAACATTTTCTGAGTTGGATAGGAACAGATAGAACTGTATGAAAAGAACATTTTCTTTGAACATCATCAGTGTAGACATAAATCAGTGTTAGAGTTTTACAATTGTGTTTTTAATGTGGTTGCAATGGTCTCAAAGTACACTTCCATTTGTTTGGGAAAGATTGTTTGGATGAGTCTGAAGTAAAACATTGAAACATCCCAAGTCCTTGTGTTAATCAAAGAAGAGGCTATTTCCTTGTAAACCACATTTCAAGAATGTTCTAAATTAGGATTTTTTGGCAGACGCAGAGGTGTCAATAGTTGTCTCTTCAGGGCTGATAAATTTCAGTATAAATGTCAGCTGGCTAGTCTTTGTACAAAGTTCAAAGTTCAAAGAGCACTGTTCTGTAAATGAAGGAAACCAAGAAATGTGGAAATTAAGTTAAGCAAAACAGGGGCTATTAAACTCCAAGTGTAATTTTTCTGACACATGCCCTAATAACTATCAGTGCTTACTGTGGGCAACGTGTATCATAAACATTTCATTCTCAGGACATCCTCAGGTTTCTGAGAAATCACCACCACTGTGGTTCTCCAGCAATAACTAAAACGTACGTCTGATTGCATGGGAAATGGGTGTTGACAGTTCAGTAATATATTAGCCATAAATGCTTAATCTTGAATTAAGCGGACAAACTGAGATATAAGAACATTTACAGCTGCTCAGGTTGTAAGGGAAATCCTTTTTTTTTGTTTTATTTAGCTACTGGAAAAGTAATTTGTTTAGGTGGGTAAAAGGGATTTGGTTAGATTAGTGGAATTTGAGCGGTTAATGACAGAGGCAGCTGACCGCCACTCCTCTCCCCTCCTTGCAGGGTTAATCCCAGATCTTAGGGGGACATCACGTGACCCGCAGATGGGCTGCCAGAAATGTCCATCTGTCCCCTGCGGCCCCGGGATTATTTCAGACATGTTATCTGACCAGTGTGATCTTCTAAAAATGCTGGTTTTAAACAAAAGAGACAAAAAAGTAAGAAATGTAAATTTCCCCCCAACCTCTGCTTCTGTGTTGTTTCAGAAGAGTGGACAAAGTCTAGTGATTATTTGGTGAATTTGGTGGATCATTTTATCCAGGGTCAAAGAGATTTTGATTACTGTAGAGGTGTCATTTTGAAGGCAGATCTGAAAATAGTATAATTTTCCAATTCTTCCACAGTATTTCTCTGTCTCTGAACCTTCTATTTCAGGCTCTGCATGACTCACAATGCCAGGTTTCCAGATTAAGATATTTGGTTGTTCATCTAGTTATATTACCACAAATGCATTTACTGTCTTAGAGCTTAGTGAAATGCAGTTGTCTGTATTTTTATTTAAATTGTATTGCTGAAAACTAAAACTAATAGCTGTATTTCATTTTGGTGCCCCAGTATGTTATTTAAGATGAGTTATCCATGCAGCCTCACCTGGCCATGAGACAACTTTAAGACATCAAACCACTTTTTCTTTTTCCTGAGCTGCGGTCAGATGGAGGACAGATAGAGCTCTTATCTGAAGCAGTCAGTCCCACCGCTACACTGTTAAGTGACAGGGTTTGCTGGTTGGATTCTGCACCCAACCATAATCCAAGTAGGGCTCAGCCTGTTGCATGCTTCTGTTGGGAATTGTTTAGGAATTTACAGTGAGAGAACGGCCGAATCGAGTTAAACTCTTCAGGACCACTGAAGTGGTGATTGTGATAAATTTATGCCTTCGATTGATGGCTCACTTAGGACGAGTTCTTAACCTTTTTTTGTCTGGGACCCAGATAAAGTTTTGGAGTCACTTTTATGTCCATGGTTCAGTTTCTAATGATTTTTTTAATTGACCGTTGTCCACTCATCTTAGAAGCTTTATTTTTGAGATGACAAGAACTGAAAAACCTGCTTCACACAAGTAAATTGCAGAAAAGGGTAGAAGAGCCTCAATCCCAGAATTGTTTTATTTTTCACTTTGATCCAGAACACGCTTGGTGAATTTGTTCTTGAAAATCGTAGTGCAGCATGTCGTCGTTTTGGATCTCGATAAGATGCTCTCGAAGGCAGTGCTAGAGATGTCAACAGGCAGATCTTTGATGTCAGTGTCAAATGGGCTTCACACCCGGCTGTATTTAGTCATACTGTACCCTCTACGATGCAACGGCCCTTCTGGGAATCTGTCTTACTGCTACACGTGTAGCCCAGGAGTGTTTGATTGCTGGAAATATACTTGTCTAAAATAGTGTTATTAAACATCTTCCTTTATAATAATTATTTTCCACAAAATGAAGTGTGATGTTACTTTTTTATAACACATAATGAAGATTCCTAAACAATTATTTTTAAACAAAGTTGCAAAATGTTTTTTTTTCAGTAATTTGTTTTGAATATTTTTTGCAAATCAGAAAATGTTATCTTGTTATAAAGCAATAATATTTTTTTTCTCTGCGATGCTACCAGGCTTCTGTAAAAACATGCTTATATAGGAGTAAATTTAAATTAATTAAAAAGGAATTGGGGCAACCTTCACTAAATGGCATGGCAACCGATTTTTAGGTTGCGAGCCACAGGTTAAGACCCACCGGCTCACAATATACTTCAAGAACAAGAAAAGCTAAAGTCCACTGATACACTACTGATACACTTATGGGTAAATTGCTTCTGTGGTGCTACAGCTTAACACACCAATTAGCTACATGTCTGTCCTGCAACAAGCCTGACAAGCCAAGCCTGGTTCCTGCAGTATATTTATTAGCCATTGTGTATTGCAATAAATATTTGAGAGACATCCTGGTTATTCCTATTTTTAATTTTTATGTCGTTTCGTATTTTAACATGGGAATCTAATCAATCTACTCTATTTTCAGGATACATTTGGACTGGTTTGTACTTGAAGCTGAGTTGAGAAACACCTTAGTAGAGAAATGCCTTTCTCCAGTCCATGATACAGGGGATGTGGCGCAGTTGTTTTTCTCTAGCAATGCAAGCTCACATGGGATGTAATTGCATTGCATGATTCGCACTGCTCTTCGGGTTGTGTCTTCTGCAGACCCCCTGGATGTTCTCAAGGCCATGAGGAGCTACGTGAAGAACTTCTTTGGCTGCCGAGAGTGTGCCACGCACTTTGAGAGCATGGCAGAAGACAGCATGGGCGAAGTGACTAACCGCACCACATCTGTGCTCTGGCTGTGGGCACGGCATAATCAGGTCAACAGCCGCCTGGCAGGTGAGACATTGTAATTGAATCCCTTCCATCATCTGCTGCTTTTCATCCAGAAGAACCCCACGGCACTTTTTTGTACAGGTGTGATTCTACTTAGTCCTCCTCTGAAGGAAGGCTCCCTCTTGGATGGCATGGGGTAGCCATTCTTCACCAGCAATTCAGCTACACATCAGAGGTGGAGATCTGAAAAATTGCTTCTTCAGTAAAACTAGGAGGAATAATTTAGGTAAATATAAACATGAAACTAGAGATTTGGCATAGATACTTGTGTTAACACCACTATTATTTTGAATTCCGAACATCTCATCTGAGTGATGAGAACCTCATTCATCATAATGTCTCCTTTTGCCAATAATAGGGGTTCTTTGGGTTCTGGTTGAGAATGAAGCAGTATCGCCACCTGGTTCACTAACGCCCCCGATAAGCTCCATGAAGTTGGTCCCTGTACAAATAGCATCATTAGTGACCGTCACCACATTTGTTTGTGACATTAAATGTAGTGTTTGTGCTGCTTTCCTTCACTAGATATAGCACCTTCTTTTTTTGAGAAGAGGGATGTCACTCAGCCCCCCTACAGCGGTGCAGGAGAACTGAACATGTCTCATTCGTTTGTGCAGCTAAACACATTCAGTAATGGGGATTTTCACATACTGTATACTGTTGCTAATCTGGTAAGATACCACCCAGCCCTCAGGCAGAAACAGAAACTGACTAATTGAATAACATTCATTCATGTTACATTTTCTGTTCCTTAATGTTACATTCTTAAGCCACATGTGGAAAACTTCAGTACTTTTTAAAACCAGCGTCGTAGTTAAAATAATCTGGTGGTTAGAGCACAATTATTCCTGTTGTCAGTGCAAACCTTTAATGGACTTTGTAAAAAGAAGAATTTATTGTGTATTAATGGTTGTATTTGCAGGATTTAGCTTAAAGGTTTCTCTGTTATAATGAAAAAAACTTTACAACAGTACAACAGGAGCTGACTGCTTGTTTTAATGTAAAATCAGTTAGATGGAAAAACCAATTTGGTACAGCTAGCGGAAGTACAGAGGCTCTATTGCTATTGCTTCTTGCACCTCCCTCTCTATGGGAATATCAGAGTGGAATATGAATAGCTATGAAACCCCTGACCAAAAATGTTTTGCAAATTTACTGTTCTGTGTGCATTATATACACACTTTATTACATCTTCATGGGGTGGGGTTGGGGAAGCCACCCTGTTAGCCTTGAAACTCTTTCTAATGGGCACTGCATTTGAAACTTTGATATCATATAATGTTTTATAGCCGTTGGTATAGTTGTAGATGTTATATTTTGCTTTATATCTGACAATTCTCTGTCTTATGATTTTGTGTTATTGAGTGTACCTCAATACACTCCTTTTGATATATCGGCCCCAATCAAAACCTAACATAAATACAGCTATTTTATAATTCATCTAGAATTAAACTACAAAATGTACATTGTATATACAGCATTTAGGGTAATCATTGGCTGTCCATATGAGGGGTTGCTACCTTTGCAATATGAAAAAAACAGTTTGCTGGCTTTAAAAACATTTATCAGAGCCACATATGCAGCTTGAGAAAGAGAGGCCATTTATTCTGAAAACTGAGGGGTAAATTCTAGCAGCTTCTCCAATCACTACAGCAGTATTTTATTACACTGCTCAAAATCACTTTGATTGTATAGTTAATATTTTAGTATCTTGTCCTGATTGTGAACAGTACAGCAGTTAGATTAAATACAGGTTATCAAAGATCAACTTCAATGGGGTTCTCATTGCTACAGGTGATACCCTTTTTCTCAACATTTAAGTAAAGGAAGAACATTTTCCTGCTAGGTAATGACCCCTAAATGAATTTTGTATTTTATATGTTGCCACTTCCAAAAGTTAAACAGTAGAGCATCTGGAACAAAATGCTGAAAAAATACAGGATACCAGGAAGGCAGTAGATTGAGTACTGAAATGGCTGTGGGCTGTAGTCAGATTATTTCATCACCTGCCACAGACTGATTGTGAACCACATTAACTGTAATGGAGATGTTGTACCCCATAGTTTTAAACAAACTGCTTGTCTAGAGCAGTTGCACAAATATACAGTACTGTGTACATTTGTCATTAATCACTCAAGTCTAGGCTCATCTACTGAGATGTCACATGCACACAAATGATGAATTTACGATAACTCACAAAGTCCTCCCCACAACTGCTTTTTTCAAGAGTATCCAAATCTTCCTTTCACTTAAAAGAGTGACTTGCTCAGGTGAATTCTCCTGAAAGTCTGCTAGTTTTCATTTTAAAGGGCTGCCTGACTCCTCAATCCCTAATCCATCTAATTCGACTATCCTCTCTGCAGACACCAGCTGGCCCTGACAGAGTCCGATCTCTTGTTCCTCTATGGGATTAGCTGTGTCCCCGAGACACAGAACTCGCAGGGAGCTGCTCCAATTACATCTTTAACATGGAAGTCTTATTGCATGGCATATTTTGCAGAAAATGGCATTCTTCCATAATTGCCTTCCACAACTTTTTGACAAAACTGAATGTTACATGTGGGCAAAATTTGACATAACATGAACAAAGGTTCACTGATGCCAGCTTTCATAGATGGGTCTTTGTGAATGTCTTCCCAGCACAAGACACCCATGAAAACATTGCTGTTAATTGCTGTATCATTTCTGTCCTGGAAGCAATGATATATACAGTACTGCTCTACTTAGTCTCTGTAAAGCTCTTCTTTTTCTGGTTTTCCAGCCACTCTTACTCCTCCGGTAAATAACTCTTAAGACCAGGATTAAATCAAAAGTTGATCCTCCTACCAGTTTACAAACCAAGTACTTTACAGCTGGTTTCCATGAATAGACAAGAGCATCCCGAGCTAATAAAAAACAAAACACCATCAGGGTTATACTTTCCAGTTGGCAAGTGGGTCAATGTATTGATTTAAAAGTTCGAAAAACTGACTGCTGGCTAATTATTTTGTACAACAGAATGATAAAACTGTTGATTTGTGGGGAACTTTCTTTAGTTGTTTCTTGCCAAATCTTTAAAAGTCCTGCAAATCACCAAACTTGCTGATGGTTTGATGTACAAGTACTTGTTTTGTGTTATTCACCACCAGTTCATGCAGTATATATCTTTCGGCAACTGATTCCTGATCATTTTAAAGTTTAATACATCTCATCAAATCATCTTTTCAATGAATTATAATCAGGTGGCTGATTGTGGAGCCTCACTTAATCTTTGGGATGAGTGGAGATATGAATAAGAAGCTATCAAGCCACAGAGCAGCCCCTCTCCCCTGACATGCTCTTCGTCTAATTGAGGCAGTCTTTTCCCCCAGACAGACATTTCTTCCAGTGAACAATAGATATTGTATGCAATCCACTAAAGCAGCAGCAAGGGACCTATTGCAAATTCCCAGGATAGCTGTGACAGCAGGTGGCACAAGTCAAGCCCAAGCCCCAACCAGCCAGCCATTGTAATCCTCCCGTAAATTGGTTAGTGTTGTGACAGTGTGGGGTTTGACAGAGCTGTAAGTGTGCGTGGTGGGGAGGGGGGGTTGTTAGCACGTGGCAATGAGTAGCACTATTGCCTATTGCCCCCACACATCCCCC